TCCTTATGTAACTCAGGCTAGTCTCAAACTCGGTTTGGAGCCAAAAGGACTGCCCTTTGAACTCTCTTGCCTTTACCTATCAAGAGTCTTACAAACAGGAGTTTCAAAGCAGCTCGAAATGGACAATTAAGGTATGATGGAGTTTTCGACGGAAGAGTGTCGTTACAAAGCCAAGTGTGAACTCTTGAAAAGCCAGAAGAAAAAAAGAAGCGAACTTCAGTAGGGGAAGGGCTGAGCAGGAAGCCAGTGGGACCCTGGTGCGCACTGATCCTGGCACAGCGCCCTTTGAGCAAGAGGCAGAGGCCGCGCTGCCCAGACCCCCGGCACGCTCGCTCACCCGGCGCTCTCCCAGCAGGTCCCACAGGCGGCCCTGGGGCTTGACGTTGAAGGCGGCGCCCACCGGCGACCAGCTGGTGCTGACTCCCCGGGCGCGACCCCAGCTGCGCAGGCCGCTCCTGCCTGCGGGTCCCCGCAGAGCCGCTCCGGCTCCCAGGCCACACAGCCTGCGGGCGTACCGCATCCCGTCCACCAGCAGCATCCTCCCGGGCCCCGGCTCCTTCAAGTTCAGGAAGCGCGCGTCCCGCGTTTCCAAGGCAGCGGCCCACGCCGCGGCACGTGACGCTCGCGCTGCCCTGTGGGCGCCCCGGCGCAGGCCCGGACTTGAGCACCGTTGACTCTCCAAGCAAGAGCGTCGCCTCGACGCCTTCTGAGCGACCGGAGTTCCGCAGCGCCCTCGTGTGTCTGGAGGAAGAAACGTCCTGAGTTTGCCTTTTCCCTCCCTGTGTTTCTGGGGCGCAGGAAGTCTTGTTGGGAATTGGAGTTCTTAAGAGGTGCCAGGAATGAATGTGAGAAGTCAGATGAGTTCTTGATGCCTTCTCAGAGGAGACCCAGTGACAGCGCGTGGAAGGACCCAGGAGAAGCCACATGCAGTCGGAATCCAAGGAACCTGTCAGCTCCAAAAGGGATCGAAATCACACCTACGTTTGCGCGCACGCATGTCAGCTGTGGTTGTGTGTAACCACGTGAATTAACTATAGAGAATCTTCATTTATTTTGGCTTTTGGAACTATTGATACCGTCTAGGGGTCTTGAGATGATACAGTCCATAAGGTCTTGATCGGATCTGTTGTCTCTTGCCAGTCGAAAAGGCAGGAAAAAAATTAAAAGTCAAGAAAAATATGAAGCGCAATACGCAGCCTCGGAGAAATCTCAAGCATCGCAGACAGAATAGCAGTTGATGAAAGGTGTTTACTGGGGGTGAGGAAACACACAGGCAACAGGCACACAGAGAAAAAGAACCTCTGCCAAGCAGAGGGGGGACTTGGAAGGCGAAAATCGGGTCTCTTCTCAAGGGCTGGTTTTTAAAGCCTCTGAAGGGTTTCCCTTCCCTAATTTAAAGTTGGTCAGTTTAGAGAAAGCTAGGGTGGTTGGTTGGTTGGCCCAGAACTGTGGTGTGACAAGTCATGACCTAGTCTTGACTTGAGCCCGTCCATCAGCAGGGGGCCTGCTGGTGGGAGATAAAAGGTGAAGGTTGAGAAGCTGGTGGTCTTGGCGATTCACCACCACCATTACCTAGGCATGGCCCCTCTCCCTGTCTGTCTGCCTACTGGCATCTATCTAACACCTAGTCTTACATCGTAATAGCCTAAAATCTAAATTAGTACAGACAGGACCTCCTCAAATATCAGTCAAACTGCAGAAATGAGAGGGCAGAGGCTGGGGGTGGGGAGGGGGTGGCATTAGAAAATTGGGAGCCATGGCTGGGAAGGAAGGAATGATGCTACAGACTTGGGAAGGCTTGAGGAAGTCTCTTGACAGCCCTAGCCTTCTCCAAGAAAGACAGCCACACCACGGTGGGTCAGGGTGCTGGTTCTGCCAGGACCAGAGCTTTTCTTCCTAAGGTGCAGTCATCTCCCTGCACAAGATGACTATGGGATGACTGCCATGTCTGCTTTATAGAGCTTGGCAGGGAAGAAAGGAAAAGGTGGAAGGTTCTGTGTGTGTTTGACTGGTTTGTAGACAGGCTCTCACTTTGAATTCCAGACTGGCCTGGACCTCACCATGCATCCCAGGCTGACCTCAAACTGGTAGTTCACCTGCCTCAGCATCCTAAGTGCCAGGACTACAGGCAGGGCTGCCCAGAAGGAAGGATTTTGTTATCAGGAACTTGATTTTTCTTTGAGAGATCGCTGTGGGTAGAGCTGGGGAGCCAGTGGCTAGAAGAGGGGTTGGAGAGGGGGCTGGAGAGATGGCTTGGAGGTTGAGAGCACTGATTGCTCTTTCAGAGGACCTGGGTTTGAATCCTAGCACCCACATAGCAGCTCACAACTGTCTGTAACTCCAAGATATGACACCTGCACACAGACATACAAGCAGGCAAAACACCAATGCATATAAAATAAAAATAAATAAGATATAAAAAAAAGAATAAAAGGGATTAGGGGTATCCCAGTCTTTGGGAGGTAGAGTTAGAAGGATCAGAAGTTAAAAATTCACACACACACACACACACACACACACACAGAGGCATGCACACATACATACACATACACACACACAGTGGAAGCAAGAGTAGCTTACAGTGGTGATAGCATGATTTTCCCCACAATGGGGAAGACAGAAAGCAGAGAAAGATGAGTGCTGGTACTCAGTTTACCACTTCCTTTATTCCTTTTTCTTCAGTCTGAGACCCCAGCACGTGGAATGGCATCACCCTCCTTCAGGGCAGGTCATTTCTCTCCAATTAAACCTTTCTGGGAAAGCCTTCACAGTCACGACCAGAGGTGTGTGTCCTGAGAGCTTCTAAATTCAGTCAGGTTGACAATGATGGTTAACCTTCACAGCCAGGGTTTTGAGACCAGCATGAGAAGCACGTTGTGTTCCAATGAGCATATGAGTTGTGGGTACATGCGGACAATTCACCATCACTGCCAGGTACCCAGGTGGGCAGAAAGAGAATCCACCTGGAACATACCCAAACAGCCCTACAGTAAGATCACAATAAAGAACTGAAGTGTTTTGCCAAGATGGATTATTTCAAACACTAGTATTTTCCCTGCTGGGTTTCAGAATCACTTGAAAGCCCTTTTTGCCTTTTCTTATCTCCCTTTAATGGGCATCTTATGACTATTCCACCACTGTACTTTGGAAGCCAATAGCTTGTCTGACTGAAGACTTCCATCTGGCTAGATTTTGTCATCACACAATAGGTCTCTCCTGTTGATGATTTAAATGGCTTAAACAATGACATTTTGGGCAAAAATGATGATCATGAAATTGAGGATGTTAGGGTAGGGCCTATTGACCTATAGGACAGAAAAAGGACCTCAACTTGGAGGCAAGTCTAGAGGGCAGACTATTGTGGGGAGAACTGTGTCTCCTTATAAGACATTTAAAGTACTAATCTTTGGTGCCTGCAACTCTGACCTTATTTGGGTAGGATCTTTACAGACGTAATCAGATTGAGATGGGCCTGAATCCAATATGACTGATGTTCTCTTTAGAAGAGGAAAACATTGCAGTTACAGAGTGAAACCAATGTGGAACTACAGGCAGAGACCCTGAAGTGACGTGTTTCAAGCCAAGGGACACCAGGGGCTGCTAGAAGCTGGAAGTGGCAGGAAAGGATCATCTTTCAGTGACTTGGTCTCAATCTTGCTGACTCATGGACATTGAACTTCTGTTTCCAGAACTGTGACAGGGTACATTCTGATGTCTTAAGCCACCCACCTTGGTTATGAAAGTCCTAGAAAGCTAATATAGATTCATTCTAACTGTTCCTTGAGTTGTGTGGCATAAACACCTAAGTTAGAAAATAAAGTATCCATAATTGTATTGGGTAACCTCCTGGGGTGTCTCACTGACACCAGCTAGTCATGAAATGGAATAAGTATGTTTTTTTGCAATGCTGAAAATGGAACCCATGCATACTAATACAAATGTTATCCCCACTCAGCCATAATCCCATCTCATTTTTCTTTACTTTCTCCTAATATCAGAAATCATAACATGGCCTTCAGAGCAGGAAAGTGACACCAGAACTCCTCTAGAACTCTCCCACCACAAACACACAGGCAAAGGATGCCTCGGGCGAGGGAATGGTGATGTGTTAAAGACACTGTTACAAGCAGGCTGGGGACAGGGCTCTGTGGCAGGGCACTTGTCTAGCATGCACAAACCCTGGGTTCTAAGCTGGGTGCGGTGGTGCACATCTTTAATACCATCTTTAATACTCATGAGGCAGAGGCAGGGGCAGGCAGATCTCTGAGTTCAAGGCCACCCTGGTCTGCAGAGCAAGTTCCAGGACATCTGGGCCTACATAGAGAGACCCTGTCTTGAAAAAAAAAAAAAAACAGAGAGAGAGATTGAGATCCTAAGTTACATACAACTGTACCAATGCATTATGATAAAAATATCCCTTACATTATTGTGGTGGTTTGAAGGAGACTGGTCCCCTTAGGCTCATATGTTTGAATGCCTAATCCCTAGTTGGTGGAACTGTTTGGGAAGGATCAAGAGATGTGGCCTTGTTGGAGGGAGCATGCCACTGGGAGTGGGCTTTGAGATTTCAAAAACCCATTCCAGGTCCAGTCTCTCTCTCTCTCTCTCTCTCTCTCTCTCTCTCTCTCTCTCTCTCTCTCCCCTCTCTTTCTGTCTGCTTAATAGTGTTTATTTATTATCTGGGTCAGTTGGGAGCAATTGGAATCAATGACTTAATCCTTTGTAAAATTCTATTAAAGGTTTCTATAAAGGATCCTTCATTCCTTTCTCCATGTGATACTTTTTTTTGCTATTCAATAAGACAAAGAGCAAAGCCCTCTGCTGGGGACGGAGACAGATACAGGGACAGATTCACAAGACAGCCTTCAGGCAGACACAGATTCAGACTCATACAACAGACAGACAGGAAGACCCATAAAACATGAAGTAGAGAATTCAAATCTGCACTCGCTCTTGGTTAAATGACACCAAGGGGAAGTGCCTTGATTTTTCACCTTAATGAGACACTGATGCATTGTTGGTGTCTCTGAGTTTATTATTAATGTGTTCAAATGGCTGGATTTGTAGGACTAGCTTCCCACCTCTACATTTTGGAATTGATGCAATAATTGGAGGAATGGACACAATCGCACCCCACCTTCACTGAGCTAGGTCTGGGGGCACCATGTCCACCATTGAGAGCCTTCCATGAGGCCCAGGTGCAGAGTCCTTTGTGTCAAGAGCTGCTGAACAGAAGGAAGCCGGTGAATGTGGTATCGTCATCCTCATCTGCAAACAAGCCATTAAACCTCTCGCCTCCCATCACCTGCATCCACACCTCATCCCCGAGCTTCAGCTCCAGCACAATGCCACCAGAGGCCTGGTCCTCAGAGCTCATATAACCATCCTTGGTGTGCAGGACTTTTACCCCATTTTTGACCAAAGAGACCTGCACGTTCCTGGAAAAAACAGTGATGTGGTAGGTGAAGTAATAGACACCAGCCACATGGCAGGTGAATTTCCCCGTCGCTACATTGTAATGGTTCAGTTCATTGTACAGGATCTTATCGAATTTGATGGGTGCATCAGGAGGCGGGAACTTGCTGATCACCGTGAGCCCCACAGTGAAAGCACTCTTGGGCAAGATGGGAGCCTCACCGACCTTCCCTTTCTCTCCTCGATCGCCTTTCCAGCCTCTTATTCCTCTGACTCCTGGCTCCCCCTGGGGGCCCATGGGTCCAGCTTCACCTCTAGGACCTGGTTTGCCAATGGGACCCACTGGGCCAGGTAAGCCCTTGGGGCCCAAAGGACCAGTACTGCCCATTAGTCCTTCTGGACCAGTGGGGCCCACATCGCCTTTATCTCCCTTCTGCCCCTGAGGGCCAGTCTCTCCTGGCAGCCCTTGCTCTCCTGTAGGACCAGTGGAGCCCTTTGGGCCATGCTTCCCTGGGGATCCTCTGGAGCCTGGATCTCCTTTGATGCCTTTTGCTTCAACTCTTCCATCTGCTCCTGGATAGAGGAAGATAACGAAGACAGGGTTTAGGATCCCCTCATGCACAATGTTGGAGTTTCTATCACTGAGCATTTAATTGAGACAAAGTAGGGTGTAGGTTCGCAATCTGCTCAGAGTCTGAAAATTCACAAACTCCCAAATTGCATGCAGGGAAATGTACATGTAAGCACACACACAAAACACACAAACCCTCTTTTTTTTTTAAAGGGTCTCACGTAGCCCAGGATGGCTTCAGACTCACTATAGCCAAGGATGGCGGGATGATCTTAAACTTCTAATCCTCTTGCCTATAGTTCCTGAGTTCTGGGACTATAGCTGTATTTCATCACTCCCAGGTTATGCAGTGCCGGGAAGAGAACCCAGGGCTCTGTGCAGGCTAAGTAAGCACTCTACCAACTGAGCCACATCTCCAGCCTCCAAAAGTATTCTTTAGTCAGTACCAGGGCTCGTACGAGTAGTGACAACTGTACCACCAAAGTATCCCATGATGACCCAGAAACAAGGCCACCCTTGGGAGAAGCACACATCGAAGGAAAACATGACAAGGAGCAGATCAATCCAGGATGAGGAGTAACAGGGCCTCAGTCCTAGGCAAGTGACAGCCCCTCAAGGACTGGACCTGAAATCAGCTCTTCACTGTGGCCCACATGCCTGCCAACTGTCCAGTCCTTTCCACCCCGGCTTTCCTCAGTCTACATGAACACTCCACACTGTTCACTTCTTCCGCCTCGATTGGGAGGCAATGGTGCTTAGGAGCAAAGAGCCCGGGCTTCCCTCAGAGTATGACCTAGCCTTTCTCCAACCCCGGCACACGCAGATAGTGAGCCCCATCACATTTTTTTCCCTCATCTATAGAGCTGGAACAGTAATGCTACCTAATTTATAGAACTCTTCTATTTTCATAAAAAGCCTTAGATTAATGCCCAGAATGAGTTCATGTATTTGACATTACAGTCATCTCTCTCCCCATTGGTTACGCCCCACCCTTCAGGTTGCAATTCCTTCTGGGAAAGTGCCAGCCACTGAGCTATCCCTCCAGCCCAGGGCCCTACTTGAGTGCCACTTTCTCCCTGAAGTGGGGTGACATGCACTGAGTGGAGCAGAATCTTCCTCCTTGGCGCTCATCCACTAAGCCAGGGGCCAACACACTGTGGCCTGCTGCCTGAATCTGCCCTCTGACCTGATTTTGCATAGCCCATAAGCTAAGACTAGTTTATGTGTTAAAATGAGCACAGCTAACATCCCATCATGGTGTGGTGGCCACACACCCTCCAGCTCAGCTACTCAGGGGGTTGACAAGGAGGACAGATCTATAGAGGAAGGCCCAGGCCCGCCTCAGTGACTCCATGATACTCTGTCTCAAACTCAAAAGTTACAATAGAGAGGTGTTGAGAAGAAATAACTATTGAAATCTTAGCCCAAAATGGGACATCTCTGTCATCTCCTTCACGACTTGGAGAACATTGTGAACAAGGGCGTGGAGAGAATGTAGGAGCCAAAAGAAGGAGTACAGAATATTCTAGAACACTGAATTCCAGGCATGATATGGTTGTTGTACTCTTGAACTTACTGCAGCTGTGGTTACCTGCACACGATGAGGCACCTCAACACTCTGCCGTGGAAGAGAAAGGAGCTCCTGAGACTCCACACTTCCCCGAGGATTTACATGCAGTCAATGTGTGATGTGGAGGGAGATACATTTTCTTCAGTGGTTAGCTGTTAGTAAGGGTCACCTGCTCCTACAAGCATACTCTCACCCATGCGCCTATAAATACTCTAATGAAACTCACTGGGTCACACATACAAGAAAAGAGGAAAGAGAGGAGAAAAGAAACATCAGCAGGAGAATGGGACTGGCCAAGAAAGGGTAACAGGATGAATGTGATTGAAACATTATGTACAAGTATGAAATTGTCACAGTAGACTCCATTATCTAAAATTAACATATGTCAGTGCATGTTTTTAAAAAGAAGGCTGTGGCACAGTATTTTCTTAGCATGCATGAATTTCAGGGTTTAATCCCCTGTACTGGGGTTGGGGAAAAAGTAAGACTCTATACTATGCAAAAAGTATATAAAACAAAAATATTGGTCTTTCAGTCACAGCTCCCTCAGAACATGGCAACACTTGTTTGTGGCTGCCTTTTGGTGCATGGGCAGAGCCCAGGGCCCACAAAGCTGAAACAAATTTTCATTTGGACCTTCCAGGAAGAGTTTGCTTATCTATGCATTCACCTATATCTCTTGAAGAGAGAGAATGTTGGTGGCTGTGACTAATCTTGATTATCAATTTGACTACATCTAGAATCAACTAAAACCCAAACATCTGGGCACACCTGTGACTGATTTTCTTTTCTTCCTTCCTTCCTTCCTTCCTTCCTTCCTTCCTTCCTTCCTTCCTTCCTTCCTTCCTTCCTTTCTTGTTTGTTTTTTGAGACAGGGTTACTCTGTGTGGCCTTGGCTATGGAACTCACTCTGTAGACCAGGCTGGCCTCAAACTCACAGAGAAATGCCTACTTCTGCCTCCTGGGTGCTGGGATCAAAGGTATTCACCACCATACCCAGTGAAGGATTTCCTTAATTGGATCATTTGAGGTGGGAAGACCTGCTCTAAATTTGGGCCACGCCTTCTGTCTTGAAGCCCATGAAAGGATGTGGCAGATGGAAGCTTTTGCTTTTTTGCCTGCTTGTCCTTGTCCTAACTGGCAAATCTAGATATCCTGTTGCTGGGCCATTCCTTTGCTGGTATTAAAATCTACCTTTTCATGATTCCAACATAGACTGAAGACCAGCAGCTCTTTAGGAATTCCCCAGGACTCTAGAACCAGATTGGGACTGCTGAGACATCCAGGTTCTCAAATGAACAACTAACAGTTTCTTGGCCTTCCCATTGGGAGACAGTCATTGTTGGACTACCCAGACCACAGCTTCTAATCCCCCCAACCCCCACCCCATGTATGTATGTGTGTATGTTTATATTTATAACCAAACATTCTACCAGTTCTGTTCCTGTAAAGAACCTTGACTAATACAGTGGCTCATCCTGGGAGCCCCAGACAGGTCTGTCCACAGCAGTGTCAAACAGCATCATGTTAGAACACTGTGGATGGGTAAATACAAAGCCAGCACTGACCTGGTTCTCCTTTCTCCCCACGAATTCCATCCTTCCCTGGGCCACCGGGATGTCCTGGTTCTCCTAGGTGAAAGGGGAGAAAGCAGACAAGAGCTGAGATTCCAATTCCAATTTCCTGGCTCTGAGTCTCTAGGGGTGATTGATATGGAAAGTCTTAGGGTGCCCCAGCCTGCCTCTTTTCCCATCAGTGCAGGTGGAGGTAGCAGCTATTAGTGAGTATCCAGGGGGTTGAGTCATGTAGAATGAGAAGGTTATGAAATGCATTGGTGACTTCCCGAGCACCCGGCGGTGGGGTGCCCAAGGAGCACGAGGCAAGGCAAACTAACACACTGAGGACCAAGCTGTAAGTTTGTCTCTGGATGAGGACTTGGAAGTGATCTGAATGTGGGAGGTGATAGGCATATCTCTCATTCTGATCCCTTTCCACCAGTCATTCAGAAAGTGGAATGGAAGTCTCACCAGATTCCATGAAACATCAGGGACCTCCACGATATGACTGTTGGGGAAGGAAAGGCATTGTAGACAAGAGGCAAAAGCCACCACACAAGCTGTGGGGGGACACTGGGCTCTGCTAGTCATACACTAGTCCTAAGTCTGGGAGCAGGTCACCAAGCAATGGCCAGACTGTGGTGACAGAAGAGCTCGCAAGGCCACAGTTTTCTCCAGGCTCTGTCTCACTCAAGTCAGTCAGGACCCCAAAACTTCAACCCTACCATTCTGGTTGTGGGGTGACCAGCAGCTGGGATAGCCTTCAGCTCTCAGGACAGGAGAGTGACACAGGTTGATTTGCATCCATCATAATGCCTGGTGTTACCCCAAGAAATCCCAGGGTCCCATTGAACCACCAAGTGGGAGGTATCTCCAAACCAGCCTCCTCTCCAGTACCACCCACTCCTTCTCTGCACCACCCCGGAAGCCTGAGCCTTCCTCCCCAAACTTCTTTCTCCCTGCTTGGTTCCCAGGTCTTGTCTTCTGTAGCACTATCTCAAAGCTTTCATGACCATACAGGTCAGAGCATGAACATCTACTAGAACAACTGTGGAGGTACGTCATGGACATTGTGCTAACTGTGTGTTGATTATATAAAATACACAGCGCATCCTCAGAGGACCAGGTAAAGAAGCAGCAGATTTTCCTGACGAGCAGTACAGGTTAACGTCATTCTCCTAAGAAAAAGCACATTTAGTGTGTGTGTGTGTGTGTGTGTGTGTGTGTGTGTGTGTGTGTGTGTGTGTGTGTGTGTACAACTGAAA